GACAGCTCAGAGCCTGGAGCCTGCTTCGGAATCTGTGACTCCCTTGCCCTCTGCCCCTCCCCCACTTGTGCTCTGTCTCTCAAAAAATAGATAAACGTTAAAAAAAAAAAGTTTTTTTTGAAGTTGGTATCTTCCCGATATTGGCGTATCTTCCCAATATCTTCCATTCGCAGAGCCTGCCCTCTCTCTCACATAGGAGTTTGGTTCATGCATGATCATCGTATGATTGTACATTTAGCAATAGGTTCCCAAAATGGTGATTCCCCTCCTCCTTGTTTTCAAATGGTAGCTGTCTTCGGTCTAACCAACACAGGTAAGTGGCTGCTGGCTACGTCAGAGCTCACTGATGGTGGCCATTTTCCATTCCCGGGTGCTTGCTACATATTGCATGCAGTTCTTGATGCTAGGGCTACAAAAATGATGAAGACCCGGGCCCAGTAATGGGGGAGATAAGACAGACGTATATATCACCACATCCTGGGACCAGTAGGATAAAAACAAAGTCTCACAAAGCAAAGAGGATGCCGAAACTACTACCGCATGGGAATTGTGGGGCCTTTATTTAAAAGAACGTGTTAGTTGGGGCGCCTGGGTGGCTCAGTCAGTTAAGCGTCCAGCTTCCGCTCAGGTCACCATCTCACGGTTTTTGAGTTGGAGCCCCGCGTCGGGCTCTGTGCTGACAGCTCAGCGCCCGGGGCCTGCTTCGGATTCTGCGTCTCCCTCTCTCTCTGCCCCTCCCCCACTCACGATCTGTCTCTCTCTCTCTCTCTCTCTCTCAAAAATAAATAAACATTTAAAAAAAATGTAAAAGAACGTGTTATCTGAGCTGGGTCTTAGGGAAAATCAAACCAAACAAATTATAGATTTGGCAGTAGAGGGGAGAAAGGGTGCTGATGGCCCTGAGAAAATAGCTTGAATACTAGAACCTAGAGAAGCTCAGGGCAAGAGAAGTGAAGGAAAGTGTCCTGGAAAAGGAGTCGAAGACAGAGGGACCGGAGGGGAACTTTTCTCGGAATTGTACTGTAGAGCTTGCATAATAATTGCAGACTGATGACAGTCCACTTACTGAGCTCCTAGCTGTGCCCGGTACCAAAATGCGATAAAAGGAGGTGATACCCCCATCTTAAAAAATTAGGAGAAGGCTCAAAGCATCCATAAAATATCCTACCTGGGGCCAATATTCTCCCCCCTCCCCCCCATGTCTCTCTGATTCCTGTTACCATCACAGCCTGCTTTAACTCTAGAAATCATCCTGGCTTGCAGGTTTCAAAGTATCGCAAAGAGCCCTCAGCTGTTGTGGAGTTCCACAAACAATAAAAAGTACTTTCCCAAACAAGGGGGTGCCTGGCTGGCTCAGTCAGTAGAGCATTAGACTCTTGATCTTGGGGTTGTGAGTTTGAGCCCCATGTTAGAGGAGTAGAGTTTTACTTAATAATTTAAAAAATACTATCCTACCAAAACACAATCATTACTCTTCTTGCATTTATGTATTAGGATGCCCTCCTTTAAATGAAAAGTTTTAAAAGTTTATTGATTTATTTTGGGAGGGGGGCAGCAGAAAGAGAGGGAGGGAGAGAATCCCAAGCAGGCTCTGTGCTGTCACTGCAGAGCTTGACGTGGGGCTCGATCTCACGAACGTGAGATCATGACCTGGCCGGGAATCGAGAGTCAGACATTCAACTGATTGAGCCACCCGGGCGCCCCCCAAAAATATGTTACAGGAGAGCTTTGACGCTGAAACAAATACATGATTTAGAAAAGGAAAATTATTGATTTATTCCAATCCTCTTTTTAAAATGACTATTTTTTCCCTCCTGTGCAAAATTACACATATTTACTATAAAAATGTGGAAAATCTAGAAAAAAGAAGGAAAAATCACCTATATATTCCTACCACCAGTGGGGAACTATTAATACTTAATTTATAGTAATATTCTCACCATAGACATATGACATAGTTATGATCTATGTAACATTGTACACAAATGTTTAAAACTAGCTTTTCTTGTTATACAATGTGCCTAGTAATGGGATAAATATTGGAAAGCTCTCTTTCCATACCGAGAAGGAAATCCACCAAGTAAGAAGCACTGAACAATTTATTTTGTAGAATTCTTGTGAATGCTATTAGTTAAATCAACATAAATGTTGAGCCATCCTTTCTGGCAATATTTGAGTTCAAAACTTTTTAAACTTGTCTTTAACTTGAAGGATATTCAACAGACAGAAATTTCAGCACGTCACATAATTCTGATATCTATCCTTTAACACCAACATCTTAATCTTGAGAGAGGGATAAAGGGGCCCCTGGGTGGCTCAGTCAGATGACTCTTTTTAATTTTTTAATGTTTGTTTATTTTTGAGAGAGGTGGAGACAGAATGCGAGTGGGTGGGGCAGAGAGAGAGGGAGACACAGAATCCGAAGCAGGCTCCGGGCTCTGAGCTGTCAGCACAGAGCCCGATGCGGGGCTCGAACTCACGGACCGGGAGATCATGACCTGAGCCGAAGTCGGACACTCAGCCGACTGAGCCACCCAGGCGCCCCCAGATGACTCTTGATCTCCACTCAGGTCATGATCTCACAGTTTGTGAGACTGAGCCCCATGTCAGGCTCTATGCTTGGGATTCTGTCTCTGCCCCTCCCCTGCTCTCTCTTATGCTTTCTCTCAAGTAAATAAACTAAAACAAAACAAAACAAAACAAAACTTAAAAAAAAGCAGGATAAAATGTTAAATAAGGATTCTGCTATTTTTCTAAAAATATTCTAGAAACCGCAACGGTTTGGGTTTGTGGAGTAAAAAATATATTCGACGGTTGTGTACCTTAATACCCTTTCGTCTCAACTTACAAAGGATTAGAGCTTCGTTTTAGGAACAAGCAAATAAGAAATTAAAAAGGGAAAAATTCCGTGTTTTAGACTGGCGCTCAAGATTCTGAGTAAATATTAAATGTTGAATATATCCTGCGTAATATTTGTGGCTAACCCTGGGAGGGCTTGGAAACAAGTAAAGTTGGGGTGTGGCCAGAAGATCGAGAAAGATGTTGTAAGAAGTTCCAGTGTCTCCACTTCCCCAGCAAAGAACATGGATGAAAAATACAGCCTTTCGGAACGTTAAGTGGCCATAATTACTTACACAGCTGCCTGTGTCCTTCCCTTCGACAACTCATGCCCCACGATGACCCCCACTTCTCGGTGTTCACCTCCTTACGGTACCCGTCTCCCCTGCCCCCCGTGGGTGGGATATGTGATTCCTTTCTGACCAGTGAAATAGGAAATGTCCCTCTGCGATTAGAATTCGTAAGATTGCCAACGGTCACACGCGTCTGACAGGCCATCCTTCCCGGGCAAGCCTTCAAGAGAAACCCCAGCCCTGCCCGACGCCTGGGTTGCGGCCTGACGAGGCTTGAAAACAGAGACCGCACGCCAGCCATGTCGGGGCTCCTGCCCCACAGAAATGGTGAGGTAACAAATGTGTCCTGTTTAGGGTCTAAATCTGTGTCAATCTGTTATGCAGAAGTAGATGACTAATACACCTACTGACACAGTGATTCACCCAGAGTGAGTCAGAAAAGGAGTTGTGAAATGAAGTGGTCACTGGACCTCCTCAAACCCGCTCTCCGCTTCTGTTAGCTTTTTCCATGTCTGAAAAAGTCACTTCACGAAGCAGAAAAAGATGACAACGCGGATCATTGTTGTCTCCAGGGGCACCCGTGTTTGCATCTGGCACAGACGAACGGAAGACTTGGCAAAAGGGACCTCACAGACATCCAGATGTAGGGGCTTAGCGGTTTCACTCAATCCAAGCTGCACGGACAGGGCACCGGGGCTCCCACCGTGACTCATGACTCGGCTGATCACTTTCCTGTTTAGGCTCCTTCTTCGTCCTTCTGGCTCCAGCCCTTGGCCTCCAGCTCCTTAAGTCCCTGGGGCCACATGCAGTGTCGTTTCTGCCTTCCGGACGCTCCCTTGCTGTCCCCAGCGGACTTCAGCTATGTCACGTGCCTCACTTCTCGGGAGCCTGGAAAAGTGAGGCGGATGGATAGAGGCTGGGAGCCCAGCAAAGTCTGCCCCTCAAAGCTTTGTTCCCACAGAGAGAATCATGGAAAGACACCAATGACATGGAAAGCAAGCTATAAATGAGGATTCATCAAAGCCCAATGGGAAGGTGAATTTTTGAAATGACTTATAAAATGGATCCATTTACGGCGAGACTGACCTGAGATGAATAACAACGATGAGCTTCAAAATCATGCATATAACATAATTCAAATTTTGTTAAAATAATCAACAGAGATAAACTAAAAGACATAAACTAAAAAAGATACACATAATACAGAGGCCACTTTTTTTTATACTTAGGTGTTTTCTATAGTTTCTTTTATTTTTTATTTTTAAAAATTAAAAAAAAATTTTTAACGTTCATTCATTTTTTGAGGGACAGAGACAGAGCCCAAGTGGGAGAGGGGCAGAGAGAGAGGGCAGGGGGAGACAAAGAATCCAAAGCAGGATCCAGGCTCTGAGCTGTCAGCACAGAGCCCGATGCGGGGCTGGAACTCGTGATCTGTGAGATCATGACCTGAGCCGAAGTCAGACGCTTAACTGAGCCACCCAGGCGCCCCTATGGTTTTTTAATTAGTGAGTACATATGGCTTTCGTAAGGAGAAGAAGAGTGTTGCTTGAAAGCTGCACGTGAAATGTGTGTTTCTTTTAAGAATCCTTTTTACTATCGGCTTCCAAATCAAAGATGGCCAAAAGGTCTAAAGTCAAAACAAATTGACATTTTCTAATTGTTACTTCCGTGTCGCAGACTCAGAAGTTGTGTAAGGTAGTCCCTACCCTGTAGGGGCTGTCTTCTCAGTGGAATATCCTGCTTTTCCTCTGAGACATCGTTTCGTGAACAGGTAGCATTTGTCTCACACGCCTGCTAGGTTGCCCTGTTAGGTAGTATTGAAAAGTAGAACCTGAGATTCTGTTGGTTTCAAAGTTCTATTTTTTGCTTACTTTTTTTTTTTTTCCTCT